AACCCATTAGGACTAAGAGTGGAAACTATTTTTTGAGTCAAAATATATTTAAATGAGCTTTTACCCAATATCAAAATTATTTGTAAATATATTACTGATTACGACTAACATTTAACATTAAAAAATTTCAAGCCAGGTCCAAGCTCATAATATTTGGAAAAAATTTCCAAGCGTCCAAGACCTTATAATTTTTAAAAAAAATTCTCAAGCCTAGCTCAACCCATAATAATTTTGAAAATTTTTTCCTAGCCCGGCCCATAATAATTTGTAAAAGATTTTCCCAAGGTGCAAGCAAATATTAATCTTGAGGAATATTTTCCAAGCACAGTCCAACCCATATTAATTTTCAAAACTTTTTCCCAAACCCGGAGATAGTTAAATTTCTAAATAATTTATCATCACATGAAGGGGAAATCTCGGATTTACCAATTAGTGGGTTAATTTCTTTTATAAAATTTGATAAGGGCTATCTATATCTTTATGTTAAGTACAAAAAAATGCTATCTATTTAAATTACAAAAATGCCATTCAATACTAATGAAACTTATATGCAATTTATTTATATATTTTTTAAGAAATTTGTTTTTCTTGCCATATAAATTTAGGTAATTTTTTAAATAAATGATGAGGATTAATTATTATTTAGTGTGTCTCATAAAATTAAGAGCAAATCCTTTATGAAATTTTAATTTTTGATGGAAAAAGCGACAAAATAAATCTGGGAAGTCGTCTGCAGAGGAAATAATTAATGTATAATATCATCCCATTTAGGGTTGTAGGTGAAAGTAATGAATAATGACGGATTACCAAAGCATTGTACAACACCCATTGCGTCCTGATAAAGCTGAGGCCTTGGGCTACTGTTAAAAGAAGAACGCAAAATGATATTTCTGACAAAGTGTCAGTTTTGGTATCCCCCTCTAAAATAGAATCATGAACGATCAACTCAACCATAAAACGGTCGTAAGTATTGTTATAAAGGCCATGACAAAACTACCGCATATTTTCCCATTAATAATGTTAATGAAATTGGCCACACTACACCTTCACGTTTGAACATCCCTCTAAATATTCATGAAAGTTCCTCAGGGAATCGGATAAAGTATTATTTATATTAACTCCTAGTGAGGTGAATGATAGTGGAATTAAATGCTTATATTTGTTGAAAATTAGGCAGAGGTGGCATAGGAATTGTGGTAGTGGTGATAGAAATATCATTTGGAGGCAACTGGGTGAATATAAAATAAACATATAGATGTAAAACATTAGATAAAAAACAAAATAAACCTCCAGAGGAGTTCAAAGTTCCTTATTATCTTGGCCACCAGTTACTTTAGAATGGGTAAGTCGTTTGTTGAATCGCCATTTTTTTCTTTGCTTATCTTTAATAATAGATTCATCATGTTTTGTAACAATGTGAGGGATTAAGATTGGGTTAGCCTACACAAATAAAGAAATCAGCACCAAATATAAATAAACTATTGTTGTAATTAAACAAACATTAATATACTGTAAACCTGTAGAGGAGTCAATATTAGAAGTATATTTCTAGTTGTTGGGGAGCTATAATAATAATAAAGATTTTGGGGGGATCTATCAAGCCTATCATGTTCTTCTAAAGGTTTATATTGCATTTGTTCATTATTAATGACTGATATATCAATATTTGAACAATTATAAAGAGGAAATAAGATGGGGATATATATATATATATATATCAATTAAGGCTTAACAATTTAAATCTTTATCATTTTTTTTTAAATTATTTTGGTCAAATCAATTCTAAAAATTTAAATTTTATAAAGATATTATATTTATTCTGTTAGATTTAATCAGCTATTTTTCCACAAAATAATATTTTTTAAAATTTATGATTTTAACATACTCAAGTGTAAGTTTGAAAAGAAATAAATGTATACTATCACTTTTTTAAACTTTTCCAAGTATTGTCAATAAATGAAGAACTTGTGGTTTCTTCCTATTATTAAACATTCTTAGAATTATTTACGACGTTTTATTTTGAACAACAATATCATATTTCTCTACTATTAGACTTTCCATTCAAGTTCCTATAAAATAAAAATGTAATATAAAAATAGAAATTTAAAAAATTTGCATGTAGCCTAGCCTATTGCCTGAAGTCAAAATTTGTAAAAAATCTGCTTAAGGCCCGCGAATTCTTTCAAATTAACAATATATATTACTTAATTTAAATAACAAATAGCATATAAAAAATCTATAAATGAAATTGCCTAAGCACAAAAAACAGTTATAAATAATAAATCAAAATTAATATTTTTCACATATTACTTAATACTATATAAGATCTAGACAAAAATATCAAAAGAATTTTAAGTAATAACGTTTTTACCTTGATTTTCTTAATATAAATTTTTTTTTTAATTTAATCAAATATAATATTTATTTTTTATGAATATGAAATATAAGATAAAAAAACTTATAATTAATCAACTTTCAAATATCATATCATATAATAAAAGAAATAGTTTGTTTTTAATATTAGATATTTATTATTAAGAATAAATCCGAAGCCCGGCCCAAAACCATAATAAGTTTCAAAAATATTTCCCATGTCCATATCCAAATATTTAATTTATTGTATTTCTAAAAAATAAACAATATTTAAGTGTATTTAGACAATAAATTTGTTGGCATTACTGAAATTTACTATTAAAGGAAAAAATTGCAATATTTTTTCAAGTTAGTTATATTTAGACATGTGCCTCGCCGGTCAAATGCGCCGCCGCCGGTGATTTTTGACCACACCAACGCCGCAGTCAAAAAAGTGTAGGCGTTCAACACACCGCCGCCAGTGTGAAAATTCGGAGGCGTGACAGCGTGATATATATTTAATATATAAAATAAATAATATTTATTTTATATATTATTTATGAATTGTATATTTTTTGAATTATTAAAAAATGCGATTTTATTTTTTAAAATTAATATATTAATTGCTATAAATTTGATTTGTAACAATCCATATAATACACGCAGTGGCGTAGCTACGGGGGGGGGGGGGGGGGTCGGGTTTGGACCCCCCCCCCAGAGCAATTAATTTTTTGTTTTAGAATATTCGTTTAAAAGACTCAAAAGTGACTCTATATCAAATAAATACCATGAATATTTATATTTTTCTGGTTTTGATGTTTGTGGAAGGATATTATTACTTTTAATTTTAAATATATATATAAATTATTCTGTATATTATTTTAAAGTCATTGATAATAATCTATTAATTTTAATAATATATTATTGATGCATTTTTAAAAAAATATTTATTATAAATTATCCAAGATATGGTTCGATAATAATAATATGAAATAAAAAAGTGCATAATCTACCCCCCCCCCCCTCAGAGCAATTTTTTTTAGATTATTCGTTCAAAAGACTCAAAAGTGACTTTATATCAAATAAATACCATGAATATTTATATTTTTCTGGTTTTGATGTTTGTGGAAGGATATTATTACTTTTATATATATATAAATTATTCTGTATATTATTTTAAAGTCATTGATAATAATCTAATAAATTATAATAATATATTATTTATGCATATTTAAAAATATATTTATTATAATTTATCCAAGATATGGTTCGAAAATAATAATATGAAATAAAAAAGTGCATAATCTACCCCCCCCCCCCCTCAGAGCAATTTTTTTAGATTATTCGTTCAAAAGACTCAAAAGTGACTTTATATCAAATAAATACCATGAATATTTATATTTTTCTGGTTTTGATGTTTGTGGAAGGATATTATTACTTATATATATATATAAATTATTCTGTATATTATTTTAAAGTCATTGATAATAATCTAATAAAATATAATAATATATTATTTATGCATATTTAAAAAAATATTTATTATAATTTATCGAAGATATGGTTCGAAAATAATAATATGAAAATAGTGCATAATCTACTTTCTCTGCTTTTATTTCTAATAATATATATTTGGTTTATATTTTGTAGCATTTTTATAAATGAAATTATTAAAGAGATTAAATTTATGACTAAAAAGTAAAGATTGTTATTTCCTATTTACGAACTTTAAGATTGAAGGAAATGGACATTAGAAAATATTTACTAAGTAACAAAAAAAATTTACCAGCTAATATCTCATGCAATTTATGCCCTGTTGAAAATGATAAGCATGATATAAATACACGAGGTTAAAAAATATTTAATCCAGTGTACTAATTAATATCTTATGCATTATAGGCTCTATTGAAAATAATAAGGATGATGTAAATACACCAGGTCAAAATAACATTTAATATAAAAGATATTTAAAATTAATAGCTAACTATTTTTATTTTAGAATTCAAAATTAAACACCTAGTCATAGTTTTAACTAAATTAAAATTGCCAGTACAAACCACTTTGGGTAATTTATTATTTTAAATAATTTTGGCTAACCAAAATATTTTAACATTTATAAGATATACCCAAACGTAGGAGGGAAGAAAATGATCTTGATACACTCATTTATATACCCAAAGACCATATAAAATCACTACCTAGTACAAGTAATATAATCTATTAAGATTTAAATATTTTTTATTATAGATTTAGATATATCAAGTATTACATTTAATAAAAATGATGATAGTCAACAAAATGAACATACCAAATCACTAATTAATATAGAAAATCAAAATTTTAATGATGAACTTGATATCATAAGCAACAATTTACCACCCACATCAGGTATTTTATAATGACCTTATTTAAATGAATCACTAATTAATATAGAAAATCAAAATTTTAATGATGAACTTGATACCATAAGCAACAATTTACCACCCACATCAGGTATTTTATAATGACCTTATTTAAATGAATCACCAATTAATATAGAAAATCAGAATTTTAATGATGAACTTGATACCATAAGCAACAATTTGCCACTTACCTCAGGTATTTTATGAACTTATATGACCTTATTTAAATGTATTCATTTAAATTTTAGAAATACCTAGATACTCTATAAAAAATTATGATAAAAATAAGCTAAATACACTTGATCACTTCAAATCTCTACCTAGTAAAAGTAATGTTAACTATTACCTTAAAATATTTATATCATAATTTTAGGTATATCAAGTATCACATTGAAGAAGAATGATAGTAGTCAACAAAATATTATAGGCTGTATCAATTTAGAATTTAAAGGTTATCTAATATGTTGTTTTATTTTAATTTATTTTTATAGGAATATCTCAATTAATATTCACACCAAGGGGTAAAAAAAATAGTGATAACAAACAAAAAAATACACTAAGTCACAACAAATCACTATCTAATAAATGTAATGTAATCAATTACTTATTAATATTTACATTAAAATTTTAGATATATAAAAAATCTAGGGAGAATTTAAATGGAAATGAAGTTCCACTCATGTCAGGTATTAGTCTTATTTAAATTATATTTATTTAAAATCTTAGCAATTCCCACATACTCCAGAAAACTAAAGGATAATAGACAACCAATTATACTAGATCATTTAGAACCATCACCTACTAAAAGTGATATAGTCTATTACTTTATACTTATAATAATCAAAAGTTGGTTCCAAAGCTAACATGTCATCTATGATTATTAGCCTAAGTTTCTCAATATTAATTTTAAACATCTATCATATATTGGTAAAAAAATATTGCCAACACAATTTTGATTTTTTCACTTTGAAGGATATCGACTTAAATTTACAGTTTAAAAAAAACATTTATTTTTTAATCTATAGTTTTAATGTGTTTACTAATTAATATATCATTTATTATAAAATATATCATTTATAATTAAGGCAATATAATATTTATAATTAAAGCAATTTATATGGTAATACTAATATTTATAATTAAGGCAATATAATATTTATAATTAAAGCAATATAATATTTATAATTAAAGCAATATAATATTTATAATTAAAGCAATATAATATTTATAATTAAATCAATATAATATTTATATTTTAAATAATCGCTTTTTATTTGTAAATAACTTCTAAAAGTATAATAAAATGAAACGTATATCAATAAAATTGTGTCAATGTGTTATTTTAATTAAAATTAGTGGCTCAATTTTAGCCGATATAGCTAACTCAATATATTAGCCAGAAAATTTTGCTCATGGAGATACAAGTTTTATATTATTCGAGAAATCTCTAGTCTTGAACAATAATTTTTTGCAAAAATATTGAGTTAGCTGTTTATAAAAATCAGCTCAAGTCGAGCCGTTTAACAACACTAATTAAAATAATTAATAATTCTAGGACTTTTATATTATAAGAAAAACCAATATGATTTTTAAGATAAACCCGGCCGAAGGCCGGGCAAAAGGGCCGAAGGCCCGTAAAAAGGGGTCTGGGGGGCGAAGCCCCCCAGGCTTTTATACATGGACCCCCTCTAAGGAAAATTCCTAGCTACGCCACTGAATACACGCTAGCTCACTTTGGGCAGGTCTGTGACCAACGTGTTAGATAAAATAAGATTAGAATATTAAAATAGATTGATATTATTCTATATTTTATTCTTATTTTTGATGCTTTAAATATTTTTAATTAAACCATAATGCAATTTACAACTCGTTATATAAAATTTATTTTTTATCATAACAGGAAATTTTAATTAATGATTTTTATTTTGTTGCCATTATAGCATGTATAAAAATAGAAGGACTAAAACAATTATAATTGATGCAGCATTGCAATACCTTGTAACAAAATATAGTATATCCTTGCAAGCAAAGCCTTCTTTGCATGGAAACATTTAGGATCCTTAATATTAAAAACTGACACAAATAATAAGAGAACCAGTGTTGCTACAGATAAAGCCTTTTGTAATATATGCTTGCAAATAAGATGGTGAGGATAATAATTATTCATTTTCATAGTAAATTTTTTGATTATTTTAAAAATATTTGTAAATTTTTAAAATCTTTTTCAAAAAATATCAGCACATCAAACATAATAAAACATTTACTTGACAAACATAACTTATCATGTAAAGAAGAAATATCTAAACAAAATTTAAAATTATTTTCCAAACCCATTGTAAAAGATACAACTGACCTATAAAAAAGGGATTCTGGTAAGGAATTATGTTCTCATAAGTTGCAATGATTTAATGCCATTCTCTTCTATAAATAATACTGGAATGCAATATTTTCTAAGGTTATTTGTAAAATCATTATAATTTTTGATAGGGCAATCTTAATTTTTATTTTAACTCTTAAGATATTTAATTATTTTATAATAGAATATTTATATAAAACTGATCTCATCCCACATTTATAATTTTTTATGGCATAATATTTTTATTATTAACTTTTTATTATAAAGAAATATGGCATTATTTCAGATACAAAAGATTTACCAGATAGAACAACACTTAGCCGGAGTTAGATGATGTGTATTTATCAATGAAAGCATACATATGCCAACAAATTAATATAGGTCCTACATTTTGTGCTATAACTTTTAATATGTGAAACGACAAATATAAACGGCGAAATTATATTACCTTTACATTTCATGTCACTCAAAAACATAGCTGAAATTATTTTTTCCGAGATCGAAAAAGTTGAAAATGAATTTGATTTAGGGTCCAAGAAAATTCAAATGGTTACGGATGCAGGGCCCAGTGTAAAGAAAAGTGTACGTCTATGAGAATATGACCATTATTTATATTTGGGGCATGGATTACATAATCTAGTGACAGTCGATGGAATAAAAAAAGTTAATAAAATAGAAAATCTCATTAAGAAAGTGAAAGAAGTTATAGTTGCCTTAAAATTCAAAACAGCGGATTTTAAAAATATAAACGATATCGAAAATAGAAAATGTTTTAAATCGATATTATATACATCGGATATTTTAATTTGGATAATAATGATTATTTTTGTGAAGATCGTTTGGGGTTTGATGATGATAGTGCAAAAAAATCATAAAAGAAAAAACATAAAACCTTAAAATTAAATGTGTCTACACGTTGGCATACTATTTTAATAATGCTGGAAATTGTGACTGGTAATAATCCTATAAATATTCTATTTAATAGAATGGAGAAACCGGATCTCAAATTATTTAACTCGATTGGGACTTGGTGCAGGAACTTACAAATTTTCCTAAAACCTTCAAAAAAACTGTTGAATTTTTATCCGTCCAAAAAGGAGTTAACCATAAATTTATCCTTATTATTTCGTAGTGAAATTAAAAATCATTTAATTGTAAAAGAATATGATAGTCCTCCCATAGCATCCCTTAAACAAAATATTCTTACTAAATTTGATCATAGATTTCCAATACCGATCTTCAGATAGTATTTTAAAATATATAAATTATATTTATATATTATTTATCTTTGTTTTATTTTTTTTTACTTAGGTGTTAGGAGCACTTTTGGAACCTCGTTTTCAATCTATAAACATAGTAAATGAATATTTAAAAGAAAAATATATTACTCCTGTGCATTTTTTGTATCAACGCGCTACTTCTCTACGGCTTTACACGGACGAATTAAACGAATCTGAAACGACGGAAGTTAATTTAAAACTCGATTATCTTAACTCATTGGCTACGAAACATTCATCTATTCATAGCAATAACCTGGAACAACAAGACTATTTAACTAGTTAAAAAAAGAGTGTTATTCATTATTTTCTCCTTATAATTTAGAGATAAAAGATGTCCTAGATTTTTGGAAGATACAAGCATTAGATCTATCTAAACTTTCAATATTAGCTAGAAAGGTCCTGTGCGTTACAGCTATGAGCACACCCAGCAAGCGTGTATTTTCCATAGCTGGGCTCACTCTGAATTCTAAAAGAACATTATTATGTCCTACAAATCTAAATAAAATAATATTTATACATGATAATTATATTATAACTTAATAAAATCATTAAATTATAGTTATAAACATGATAAAGCATAAACTTTATTTTAAAAGTGTTTCCAATGAATTTATAATTTTAATTTAAAAAAATTTAAGTTAGAAAATTATTTGATGCCACTGCGCTACCGCCGATTTTTAAGGCGGCGTCTAAATCGATTCGCCGCCGGTAGCCGATCATTTTTAAAAAAGAAACCCCGCTGCCGAAAATGCTGTCGGCGCACATGTCTAGTTATATTTAAAATTGAAAAAAATTAGGAACAAACATATTAATAAATTCAAAAACCCAGACCCGGCAACCCATAGTTCTATGAATAGCGGGCCAACCCATAAAGGTTTCTGCGGCCTACCCCATTATAATTTTTGCCTGGCCCGTTTTATATTTTAAAAGTTTTACCGGCCTAGGCTTAGCAGATATCTACATCAGGTTTACAAACATAGCTGGCATCAAGCCAAGCTACCTTCCAAACATGGGTTTCTTGCTTCAAGATCCTCGCTGTCAATCTCAATTTCTCAAAGCTAGCCACCTACGGGCAAAGACATCAATCGACCAACATTTATCAGTCCTCAATATTTTTTAAATATAACTAAGACGGTCAAATATATTGCAAACAAAACCGAATTCCGATTTCAATAAAATAGAAAAATTGAGATCTACCACTTGTAAAATGTCCATTGATTACCCTTTTTCGAGTCTTTCACTTTTGACTAGATCCTCAATAAAATAAATATATTTTTAGAATTTATTCTATCTAAAAATCTCAAACTTAAATTGGATAACCACGAGCTCAATGCATTCTCATTAGTCATTCATTACTATATAGACGTCGAAAATGTCATTATGAAATATGGCGCGGCATGTTTTACATTATAATCGCAATCCTAGCACTCGATAAATGTCATATCTGAAACTGAGATCAGCTGGTTTTCTTACCTCATTAAAATTATCCCGATAGTTGATGTTCATACGCGAATTCCATGATTACAAGGCCAATTTTTAATATAGGATTTTTTATACTTGAGCACAAATTCCCTTTCCAACATTAAAAAAGACGCTATAAACAAAGCTAATAATTTAATGATTCCCAAAAATGCAGATTCGTCAATTTACATATTAGAACATCTGCTCCTATTTAACAGAATATGAAGATTTGGCTAAATTTCTTTAATGACTTCGGTCGACAATCAGAAAAATTCTCGTGAGCCCTGTGAAGGCTTTTACCTAAAAATCGCATTAGTCATTCTTAAGAATAATTAGTTTTGCTTTATTAATTCGATCGATCATGATGATTAGTATTTTTCCTCTTAAAGGCAATGTAGCACCTCTTTATATATCTAAAATTTCTAATTATTCGACTACCGATTTTAGTTTTATCTTAAATTAGAATCTAAGAAATAAAGTTGTAAATAGTGCTCTAACGTCATTACCAACTGTTTTATCTTTTTTTGAAGAAAAGGAACGCCATTCATTACCTTCTTTTAGAACAAGTAACGGTAACGCGTTTTTTTTTTGAGAAACGGTGCAAAACGTTACTCGTTACCAAATTTTTCTTAGAAAATATGAAAAAAAACATATATTGTAATATAAAATTACTTTTATTAATATTTTAACCTCAATTGTGGAATAAAGTGCAGCCATTTTTAAAGAAAAATGGATTAAACTGGTTATAATAAGATGTAACACTTTCTATAACTCCATGAAATTAATAAACTTAAAGAGAATGGCCACAAATTTGGCGAATCTTGTGATAAATCCGAATTAGTGTATGGGGCTATAAGGTTATTTTGATTTTAGAGAGAAAAAATAATGCATTTGGAAAATCTCACTTCCACGATAACTATTATAATATTTAAAAAAGTACTTTAAATTATTTCATCTTGTAAGTCACTTATTAATGCAAATCTGCACAAAAATAAAAGGAATACAGTTGAAATTTGTTCACAATTTATATTTTGATAATAATTTATTTCAATTGAATATATATTATCAACAATAATTAACCTGCTATTTAAATCACTGGCCCTCGTAAAACTAGATGTGAAGGAAACTTGAACTTATTTCATGTTCGAGAAAGATCTTGACAAAGAAAAGGCAGATTTGATTTCTTTAAAAAACACACTTACAGATTATTTTATAATAAAGATTAAAAAAATAGGTGAAGATTCGTTTGAGGATGAACTAAGCTTTTTTTTAAATAAAGATTATTCTTAAATTTTTAATAAATTTCCTCAATTAAAATTTTAATTTTTACAATATAACACAACCCTCCCCATCCTCTGCGCCAGTTGAACGTGTTTAGCACAGCTAAAGCTATGTTTAGTACTAAGCACTCGTTTATTTGATCAAAACTTTTAAAATCAATTCTTCTTAAAAATAAGTAAAAAATTACTACAAAAAATATCTTATCTTATAATATATTATTTTATTTATAAATTTTATATAAAAAAAATTGTTATAAGAGATAATATTATGTTATTTTTTGCAATTTTTTCTTTTTTGAAGTAACGTTTACAATACTAGTTGTAACTATCAGAAGAAAAAAATAATAAAGTATTTGTATTTTAGTAGGCATATAAGAGAAGCAATAAAAGTAAATAATAAAATTTTACCTAGATTATATAAATCTTTTTACATCAATTGGTGAAACTGGTAAAACCGATTTAAGCTTAGATAAAAATAAGTTAAAAGAAAATTTTTACCTCTTATAATGGGCCGGCTATTATATTTTAACAAACTATGTCCTTAAATTTTTTTCAATAAAGTATAAGAAAATTTTTTTAATTAGATGCTCAAATAAACAATTTATTCAAATAAGTATTTTAATAAATCTAAAAATGATCTTACCTACCATAAATGGGACACCATTGATTTTTAAGTTATACCATACCATTTCATGGTAATAAAATATCAACAATAACAATTAAGCTTTGTAGATGAGCAGAGATTGAAGGGAAATAGAACCCCCCAAAACGAACATATATCTAGAATTTAAAAATCAATAAAATTTAGAAAAAAAAGTTTTATCTCTTATGAAGAGCCAGCTATTAAGGATTAACGTAAAACGACCGCGTAAAATTGTAAATAAATAAATATCTGTCAAAATTAAACAGATAGGAATAAATTGACCCCCTCCCCCCCACCCCCATAATTTAATAAAATGAAGTTCATAAGAAATAAAAAGTTTTACTTCTTAGTACAGGCTGGCTGTTAAATAAGTACCACGACCTCGAAAAAAAAAATAAGTGTAAAAAATATATCAATCAATATTAAACTTAGTAGATAGGAAGTTGGCGAAAGAATGAACTTAGAAGCAGAACCACCAAATAAATGTCTTATCCATAATGAGCAATAAAAAAAATTACCTCTCATAATTGGTTGGTTATTTAAGATTAAAGTATCAAGGCCTCGAAAAATATTTAAAACATCAATTATTACCTTCGGGTATAGGAAGTGATGAAAAAAAAATTGTTAAAACTCCTCCCCTTCATGGCAAAAATCATTTAGATTCTAGCCAAATCAACACATCCCTTAAATCACAAACTCCGAAATGCTTAAATATTATATTTGCTGAGTTCTTAAAAACTTTAAAAAATTCACCTACTATCTCCGTTAACCCCAATGGCAGAGAATAGAAATATGCAAATCTAATTGCTTATCCATCCATGGATCAGTTGCTTTTTTTAAATGTAAAATTTTGTATTTTAGATATTTTTAATCATTTTAAATATACCGAAAACAGGAAAAATCGAAACAACAAACTCGTTTCGGCATCTGCCGCCAACAATTAAAGAATAATAAAGAAATAAAATATTAGGATAATTGACAAAAATTAATTTCTAAAAATATTATAAATAACAAACAATTTTGCTTTATGAATGGGAAGAGAATTTTCCTTTTTTTAATTGCACCTTTCCTTTTTTTGAACATTTTTCCTTTACTCTTTATTTGATAGATCTTTTTAATTTTTCGATGGAACCTATTCTAAGTCTTTGATATTTATACTTTTTTAGAGTGAACCTTTTGCCTTTTTGATCAAAATTTTTACTTTTTTAATCGGACTTTTCCCAATATGGTCGAACTTTTTTCGTTTTTGAATGGCTGTAAATTACGATTTAAGATTTTGATAAACTTCTAATGCAAAAATTTATAAACATAAAAATCCAAATTTAAAAATCGAATATAATTCATAAATTTATTATGGCTAAGAATATTTACTCGATTGTTATCTACCTATTCATATAAAATTCCACTTTAAAAAATCGATTTTTGTTAAAGTTTGATTTAAATTACATTCATTGGCCGACCTTATACATTCATGAAAAATCGCATTAAATTATATCCATATCAAGAATAATCATGAGATTTATTAAGAGCATATTTCTTACATATTTTATTTTTTACTACACCGGGATGAGGCAACTTTCTTTACGTCTATAAGTTCTATTCCAATTTTCCTCTTTCTTAATTTCGATTTATTTTGTTCTAGTATTTAATAATATTATATAAATAGAAAAAAATAATTTAATTATTACAATTCAAATTAGTAAAAACATCACATTATCTCTAGGTAAAAAATCATGGCAAATTTTTTAAATTATAATAAAAATTCAAATAAATCAAAAATGATAAAAATGTTTTTTTATAATTTGGTCATTGGACCTACACCATTAATAAAATAGGATATGTATATATATATTTACTTTAAAAAAATATTAACCTGAAGTAATTAATAGTGTATAATTTAGCGAAACAATTTTTATCTCGCAAAGAATTTTTTTTACAATTATTCAAGAAATAAAATTTCTAATTATCTATAGAAAACTTAGAGAAAATTTATATCAAAATAATAGATTTGATTTAAAAAAATGAGCTTGGATAACCCTATTAAGGCGATATAGATCATTCATCGTGACTTGAGTATTGGAATCAACTATCCAAAGATGAGCTATCATTTAAAAATTTTGATAGAAACCATTACCTTTTTTATCTAGAGAAAATAAAAAGTAAGGAGAACTCTTTTTTAAAAATATTTTATTAAATTATGATTCGTAAAAACATCTATTATAAATCTCAAAATGAGAAATATTAGGATATAGATCCATCCAATGCTCAAGCGTCGATATTATAGTAAAATAATAAATTATGATGTATCACAAAAGTTAATAGAGATATGTGTAATGATGACTATAGTTAATGGTCATGATAAAAGTCATGGACTAGAATAGGATTAAGGGGGAAAAAATTAATATGATAAAAGATGCGGTGTTTAGTTTAAAAAAAATTATCCCTGATTGAAAAATAAAATTCAAATTTAATATCAATGTATATTTTATAAAAAAATATATAATTAAATTACCAGTATAGAAAGAATATAATATTTTGCTACCACCTTTGAATTATTTTTAAAAATTATAATTGACTAGATCTATAAAAAAATTAAAAATAATTCTGATATCGAAATACCAAATTAAAAATTAATTAATGGCCCTAAGTAGGATAAAATTCTTTAAGTTCACAAATTATAAGACCTATTATATAAGTTGACTAAATATTAATTGGAGTATCTTTCGTTAAATTTAATTAATAAGAGCATGATTGAGGATTTACACTATTTTATAAAATACAATAAAACACATTGGTGAGTAAAGGCAACCATAAACCAACAAAAATGATTTTAACTGTATGTTTAGTAATCTGTAGTTAAAATGTTGATACCAAATTGCAATTTTAGATTTCACATAAAGTATACTCTTATTTTTAGTTATAATTTTTTTTGGCTTATGAATTGGTGGCAAAAAAAATCGTGATTTATTATAACAAATATTTTGTTTGTTTGATTTTGGAGGAAACTCAAAATTTTAGCTCAAGCCATCAAGACATTACTGTTAGATCCACTATCGGTATCGTAAGAGTGCATCAATTGGAAAAACGGGTTGTTATTGTTGCCATTGTTAAGATTTTCGGTGCTCAATTCTGCTATTTTATTATTTTGGTGAACAGCAGAATTCATTTTATTTAAGTTGCTTCCATTATTTGTGTTATTCGTTAGTTTTGGCGAAATTGAAATATCAAATTGTTCTACCTTGATTTTAGGGGAGGAGGACTTTGATTCGGCGTTTTGACATGAGCCAGGGGAAAGATACTTGTCCAAGTCTTGTTGAAGTCCGTTCAAATTAAAATTATCCAGGGAATACCTTTTATTTCTTGCTCTGCTTACTTGGAAGTTGGTTAAATAACCAATGTCTGAACTCCTCATATGATAAGGCGTGTTTGTTCTCATCTCGACGTTAGCGATGTTTTGGTCTCCGCTAAAGTTTCCGTTTAAATTATTTAGGTTATCACCTGGACAACTATTATTGTTATATTCGAAATTATAGTAATAGGCAAAATTTCTGCGAGAAGGTTGAGTCAATTCTTTCCTCAACAATTGGGCGTCGAACGTCGATTTGGCAAATAGTTCAGTGTTTTGTCGGAGTAATTGAGGAATTTCATTTTCGTGTAGCAATTTAGAAGGGGGCAGTATCGACAGACGATGTTGATTCACGACATTTCTTATTTCTTCATCGGGATTGAAGGGATTGCATGCTGATAAAAATTTAAAGACACGATTATTTATTTGGCAAGTCCTTTAAAAAAAATTGTACTCTAATAAAATTACAAAAAGAAATAATCAGATGAACATTAAATCATTAAGTTTTACTAAAGGGCATTATGAATTTCAAAATAATTAGGGTTGTCTGGTCATATTATATGACTTTGTCAAAGGCACTAACAACATTGCCTCTCTTTTTATTCAATGTAGCTAGGCCTTTAATTAAGTCTCTAAAGATTTTATGGGGTATAGCCGCACCCTAGTATTTTAAGTTCGTTATTACAAGAAAAGCTATAAATATTTTCATCTGGTTTTCTAATAATATTTACAAAAATTTAGTGCATTTTTATCGAATAGTTTTTAAGGTATAAACGTTTTCTGGGGCAGAAAAGCACATTTTAACTCTTATAATTTAAACAATTATGAGATTTAAATAATAATTAAATATATTTATAAATATGATATCTATGATAGGGCTATTAAAAACCTAAATTTCGGTGATTTTTAAAAACGGCTAAATTAAGTTTAGCCAAAAAAAATATTACAGAAGCCTCAAAATTTTATCTGCCATGTCTTGTCAAAATTTTAAAGGTTAGCAAATATATGTTTGTGGAAAATCTTGATTTCGCCGTTCTTTTTAAAATCCCCTAAATCGAGGTTTTTAACAATACTAATTTATGGCAGTTGCTTTATTTTTACAATCAAAAATTATTATAAAATTTATAATAAATAGTAAAAATTTTAAGTATAAACAAAGTTTTATTTAATTAATAAATGCTTAAATAACAAAGCTTAATATAAAAATTTGAATGAGATATAATAATTTTAAAATGAGAAAGATTTGATTATCTTAAAACTCAAAATATGGATAAACAGATCATTCAAAACTAATATTTACTTACTTAGCAAAGATTGGTGGCCACCACTAGCTTTAAACTCTTCGATAGGTTTATCATTGGGTACATTATTAGAATTGTTAGCATTAACATTATTGTTATGACTTAGCAATGTGTAAGGTGCGCTTCCTCTCCGAGGCCTTTTGATACCTAATGCTGACGCGGGTTCTAAAAATCCATCCATCTCCATCATATCATTAGTGCAAGAGGCATTGTTAGTTTCCAATTTTTCGGAACTCTCATTAAAATTGCTGTCTGCGATTATATTATATGTATACTAATTTCACTTTTATATATAATTTTAATTTAACGGGTAAACACAAAGCCCGGTCTGTCCCGTCGCAGGGAAAATTTTAAAAATTATACTGGGCCAGACAATTTATACATAAAAAATAGATCAGGACCTCGCAAATCCCTGAACTTGAGTAAAATTTTAATTAGGCCAGCCCGTGCATAAATTTTTTAATATATTTGAAAATAAATTACAATATAAGTATTTCTTTATATTTTAAGAGCTGTCTAATCTATAAATAATATAGTAAATTCACAAAAAATTAAACAAGCTATTATTTGATTCAATTGCAAATATATAATATAAATATCAAGAACATTGGTTTATAAAACGGTTATTTTAGAAAGGGGATAGTCATAGATGTATAAAAGCCTTAATTGATATCGGGAAACAATTAGATTATGTATTTAAATGTAACCAAATAATTCGTACAAAAAGGTAAATTTTTTATAAAATTATAACGAGTCGGACAACTTGTACAAAAATTCTAAACTGTGGGCTTTGCTAATATCTATATGGCAATCCTAAATGATTACGGAAACAAAAAGTGCAAATTTTCATAGAAACAATGAAATGGGATCATTATTATTAAAATTATCCAGAACTCTAGGAGCATGTGGAATTCGAACCCAGGCATGAATTGAAAGACCTACGATACAAGCCATATTTATATTATTTCTTTTATGTATTTTCTTTAACAATTATTAAGCACTGCATAATATCTTTATAAGCATCGATGGTATCGGCCAAAAAATGTGCGCCTTTTTTAAAAATATCCTGGTTAACTTTAAAAGTGTCGTTTAAAACTTAAAGAATATCAGTAAATATATGCTGGTAAAAATAAGTAAAATATTTTACTATTGTTTATAGTGTTTGGTATGTTGAGACTAGATGATACCGTAGATAGGTTGGAACAACCAGACCCTCTCCTAGCAACAAAACTGGAAGGACAAGGAGAATTATTAAGACCTAATAAATGACCTTGATTATTACTATTCTGTTGCAGTGAGTTCATATCAAAGTTAACATTACTATCTTCGCATTGAGAGTTAAGGTTAGTAGAGACAGTCAAATTTTCCAAATTATTTTTGTTGTTAGGTGTACGGGGGCTGTTGTTATAAAGATCTATAGTATTTAAATTCGCTGAATTGTTCGCATCACTTGCGTGTCTGTTGATTTCGGCATTTTGACAGCGAACAGGTTTGGGATAATGGTAATTGGAGGTAATATTTTGGGTTTGCGGGTGGTGATGAAGATTAAGGTTATTATTGTTGAGATCCGAGAGCAATATGTCGTTATTATCCATTAGGGAAGAGTTGTTGAGGTAAAGTGAAGATATGTGATGAGAGTGTGGGTGATTTAAATTGAGCGACGGTTGGAGGTTCAAAGGAAGATGTGGGTGGGGATAAGGATAAGGATGGTGAGCCAAAGATACAGCAGATAGAAAAGGCGACTGTATCATATGTGTTAAACAAGAAGGACATAAAAATAAATTAAATAAACGTATATTTTATATGTTGTCATATATGAAAATTGTTTCGAATGATAAAGCTTCAGTCCGGTCTTTGCAATTGGTATTCGATCCGTTATAAGATATTTAATATAAACATTTTATAAAATTTAATTTATGAGATTTCTAGTATTTCCTCTATATTAATAATAAATGATTTGCAATTATATTTATAAAAAAAATTTAAATAGGATATCTATTTAATAATAATCAGAGACCTGCAGGCCCGGCCCTAAACCCGGCCCGGGCCGTATTTTAAATTTTTTAAATATACCCGGGCCGGGCCGGACCGGGCCTAAAAAAAATTTTTTTAAACATATCCGGGCCGGGCCTAAAAATTTTTTTTTTAAATATATCCGTGCCGGGCCGGGCCTAAGATTGTTAAACCCGGGCCGGGCCTTAATATTTTTTATAAAAATTTTTACATTATGAGTTAATGGTTATAAGATTATATTATATTATTGATAAATATAATATTGGGTGATGGTTAACACTACCTAACACCCACAGATCGATCTAATTATTAATTTCCTGCAAATTTATTCAAAGTATTATTATATTTTTTTATAAATCATATCTAAATTTTTACAACATATTTTACCAAAACAATCAAATAAAGGAATATCTTAAATAAGCCCCAATATTCAAGTATTATTAATATATTTTTTTATAATTCATATCTAAATTTTTAGAATATATTTTACCAAAACAATCAAATAAAGGAATATCACTTCTTGAAGTTTGTAATACTTTTCAAAGCGAAAAAGGAGAAATAAAATTGATTTTACTTAATATAAAGCATTTTTTAATTGAAAAATTTGTTTTACACAAGTATCATTTTATTTCTATTTTTCTCTGTCCCAAATTCAAGCAATTACGTATATAGTCAGGGACAGATCGCAAGATGACGGAAAACTATATAAAAGATTATATTAAATTACAAGAGGCTCAGGAAGTAAATGAAATACCATTGACCAGTCATATTACGACTGTTGTTAAACAACTGAATCGTTTTATGACAAATGGGGCGATGGTAATTCTGGTAATATGTCAATACCCGATGATGAATATTATAATTACATAAATAAAAAAATAAAAAAATAGATGAAACAAGGTGGATAATTTGTTAGAGTGGTGGGCGGCTCATCAAAACGAATTTCCAATTTTAGCAAAATTGACAATTCCTGCTTCAAGTGCAAGCTGTGAGCGGAATTTTTCCACTACGAGAATTCTTGAAGAAAGAAGAAGTAATCTTCAACCTGAAAAGGTAGATATGCTTCTCTTTCTTCATGATAATTTGTAAATTTTTAATATCTTTCTTGAGTATAGGGTTTCGTCAATCATGCTGGTTTTTTACTTTGCAAACTGTCAAATTTGCATTTATTATATTTACCTTGAGTCATGAAAGTTTTTAATCCAACATTTTTCATTATTTTTTTTTACAATATTATATAATACAATTATCTTCTTTTGTTAAAAATTTATATTATAAAATAAATTATATTAATATTGTGCAATTAGATTATATTTTCAAAATACTATTTATTTTTCCTACATTTTTTAAATAGCGATTTATTTTTATTTTATAAATTAAATAGTAAATTAAATACAATATATTATATTCTCAAAATATTTTCCATTTTTATAAATTAAATATTAGTTTTATTATTTTTAAATGCAATAAAAAATATAGTATATGCTCAAAATATTATTACCATTTTTATGAATATTAGTTTTATTTTTATAAATGCAATATAAAAATAGTATATGCTCAAAATATCCATTTTTATAAATAACAGTTTTATAATTTTTATAAATTCAATATAATATTCTCAAAATATTAGCTTTTTACATGTATTTTTTAAATAATAAGCGATAATACTCGCTGAAAAATATGGTAAAATACCTCATAGGTGAATTTTTGTATATACCAGGTCGAATATAATTTTTAAAAATTCCGAGCAAGGCCTGAAATTTTTTTTTTAAAAAATATCCGGGCCGGGCCTTAAATTTTTAAACCGGGCCGGGCCGTAAAAATTTTTTTTAAAAAATATCCGGGCCGGGCCTTAGATTTTTAAATCCGGGCCGGGCCGGGCCGTAAAAATTTTTTTCAAAAATATCCGAGCCGAGCCGGGCCGGGCCTAAAAAATTTAAAACCGGGCCGGGCCGTGCAAATGGTACCTCTGCAGGTCTCTGATAATAATATTAAATATTTTGCAATTATTAATACTTTTGTGCTAATAAAATTAATTTTAAATAAGATAGAGAATAAGTGCATCTTATTTCATTATATTTCAAAATGAAATCGAAATGGTTTAAATATTTTCTTAATTGTAATGAATCTTCCTTGTTATCTTGACTCCTTAAGGTCATTTGCTCTGTTATAAAAAATACCTGTAAAATGCTTTATATATAGATGGGTGGCCACTTAATGGAGGTTTTAAATAATTTTTTAAAAAGTTGGGGATTAATCTTTTATTTAAATTTTTTAATTAACTAGTAAAAAAATTTGTTAAGAATTATCTCAATTAACAGAAAAAATTTGATTTATAAAAAAATCTTAAATTTATTTTTTGTACATAAGAAATTGGTATCTGAGATTTTTATTTGATTATGTGTTATTTATTATATGCAATCATTAAAATTCTTATTATAGATATCTTTTAATAAATCTATTTAATAGTTTGAAATTAAGAAAAAGAATAAAATGATAAAATTAATCACTTTTTTATATAACATATTTGAAATTTAATGATGTTTAAAAAATTTTATTATTGATATATCTTGTGAATTACGTTTCTGGATATGACTTGAAAATAGATATGTTCCCTAATTGATTCCTATGATAGGGTTAAAAGAGTCCCGAAAGAAATTCCTCAATGACCTACTGGGCTGAGAGGCAAAATAATATGAATATCCTGATTCATTTCATATCGGTCACTCAACAATGCTACAGCCCCCTGTAAATCTCAGTTGAAAAGCGTTCTCGAGGCTCACAATGTCTATATAAATTGTAAACTTTTGAAAAAATATTCAAGGACTTTTACACCCCTTCTCCAGTTAATGATTTACCCATTATCCACCTTTTATCAAATCAAAATTAACAAAAAAGAATTTTAATTAAAACTACCTCCTACCCTTTTACAATTTATTCAAATGCCATTCCCCTTCAATTTCAATGACGATCTTGACTACCCCACCCACTCCGTGATAGAAGTCCCTGGACATATTGCATATTTGTACTAATCATATATTTCTCTAATACATTTTCTCATAAAATCAATTCAGACTTTTGCATGTCTTTCTATATTTTTAATTTAAAAAAGTTGATATTAATATTACAAGCATTTAAAACCCCAAAAAGCCTTTATTTTTCTAAAACGTAACCAAACCTTTTTAATTTCAATCAGTTGAACCGTAACTTACATAAAAAAAAATCCCTGAACCGTAACGGAACCTAGATATGGTTAGGGTTTCTGCTTATTATCAATTTACATAACGAGAAGTGTAACCAGAGTTGGGCAGTAGAGTGAATACTTGTACTTAAAATACCATACAAATACTTTTTTGCACTTGTATTAATTTGAATGTTTCCGGAAGTATTTAGTATTTATCAAAAACCTGCAAGCCCGGCCTATTTTAATTTTTTTAAATATACCCGGGCCAGGCCTAAAAAATTTTTTTTTTAAATCCAGGCCGGGCCTTATATTTTAAAACCAAATATTTGATCGCCATTATTAGCTATAAAAATCAAAAATAAATAAAATATATTTTTAAAAAAAGCCGGGCTGGGCCGAAAAAAATTTTTGAAAAAAATCCAGGCCAGGCCGTTTAAATGGTACTTCTGCAGGTCTCAGTTATTTATATTTAAAATACTAAAAAATAAAAAGTGCTTTACATTTATTACGATTACAGACGAATTTTTTAAAAAAATGTAAATCTAATATTTATTTATTTACATATTAAATTTGTGACCACATTAAGAGAACAAATAACAACTTATCCGTTCCCATTTTATTTTTAAGATGAGTATATACGAAAGTGAAACTTAAGATATAAATTTTTTTGAAGAAGTAGACTGCTATGTTTACTTTATTATACTATTGTTAACTCGGAAACTAAATAAAAAATTTGGAAAAAAATATTTAGAATTATGTTCCGTAGATTTTTATTATGAAACAACATTTAAAATGAGATTAGTGTTGTTGTTTTGGATGTGAGGAGTAGGGGGGGGGGGGAGGTTGGAGGGGGGTTAGAATTGAAATAAATATGAATTATCTTCAAATAGAATCAAATTTTCATAAGAGCTAAATATAAATATTTAAATGAGGGGGAACCTTATTCTGTTTGGACAGCAGATAGTCGAGAGGGTTATCTTCGAAAGTATCAATACCATTAACATTTCTCGCAGTTAAATGTCTTCTATTATCGTAAAGTTGTAACCCATTTTCGGATTTGACGATAGTACTCACTATTTGGGCTATTTTTATCATTAATTCAAGTAAAACTTTAAAATGATTTAATAATTAATAATGTCCAATCAAACTCCGTTAATAAACCACTAAATTACACATTTTCTAAAATAATATATAGCATTTCAATCTAATGTCCGTCGTTGTAAACGTTATCAATTTTACAGCATTAAAGCGAATAATTAACAGAGAAATAATATAAGCCTGCTGACCCCACCTGGCATATTTGTAACATTCTTTAATAATTTCTTCCCCCAATGCTGCGCAGAAGTCATTTCATTGGCTAAAGAATTTAAACAATTCCCATTTTTGGTAACTTTTAACATCTGGTTTGATATAATAGCAGGTGAATTTAGAAAGTAAGATCATGCGAAGTGAAATTGAATTGGAAAGAGTTTACACTTATAGAAAGTACCCAAGATATTTTAGATCGCTTTAAGGAAAACGGCTTTCATAATTCCTTTGACTCAGTGTGAGAGCATGTGCATGAAACGGAAATGAGTTTAGAAGAGCATCTCTTTCCTTCAATAACATTAATTTGTAGACGGATGGTTTTAAAACAATTTTTTTACGAAAGACATGACAAGCCTAAAAAGGAATATGAGATTGAATTTTTCAATGCATTACTAGATCAAGCGAGAAATTCGTTGGAGGAACGTTTCTAGTAGTTAAAGCACTTTATTTTATTTAATATACCAGAATTGATAAATGCACTTAAAAGAGAGCTAAAGAAAACATGTTGTCAATTAAATATTTTATTCGCAGATTAAGATACTTTAGAAATTGAATTATTTTAGTGAGTATATTAAGCAGGCACCTCATAAAAACTCCATTGGAAATTTTACGCTATGTTAACACATAGGTTAAACGAAGCCTTACCAAATATATCCATTGTAATAAGGATTACTTTAACCATTCCAACTAATCCGCAGAACGCAGCTTCTCGCTCAAATTAATTAAAACTTACCTAATATCCTGCATGGCACAGTCTTGTTAATCTCTCTTTAATTTCAATAGAAAATGATATCGACTCATCGTTAGATTATACTGATATAATATCCTCTTTTGCATATAAAAAGGTGAGGATGATAAATAAAATTGCAATATTTTAGTTTATGATTATATTCATTAATAATGTGCGTTACTCTTTTATGATTAAAATTTAATAGATTGAGAAAAATTATTAAAAAAGCTTAGGTAAATTGTGTTTTTTTAAGGGGCAGCCAAAAGTCTCGGCACCACGCTGATTAGTACTGAGCATAATTTCCCAGATTTTTAAGTGAAAAAAATAGTCAATAACTTCGTAAAAACTTAATCTGTATTTGCAATATTTTTGAATTTAATTTGATAAAATAAAGTATATTTTTAGGTAAATTGAGTCTATATATGATTTTATTTAGAAAATGGTTTCAAAAATTTGCTGTTTCTTGTGGGAATGAGGAAGAGTAAGTTGATATGTCATTGTTAATCACGTTAAAACTTAAAATATCGTAAGAAAATATTGATAGAAAAAAAAAATTTGTGGGTATAATATTTTTTTACAGTATGTATCGTTAATTTTGTTGATGCCAAGGTGTGGTGGATGATGATTGGTGGTATTTATATTATTCATCGATTCTTCGGGTAAGTCTTCATCCTCTTCTGTAAAAAGGCCTCCGTCTTGAGCCATCATAAATGACCCTGGCCCGGGTAGCCCCTTCTTGCCTAAAGCCTTGATTTTTATCAGATAAAAAGGGGAGATAATGTGTGATAATTCGATAAAATAAATTTTTAAAATTCTTTTCTCTCTTTATATTGTATTACGAGAAAATGAAGAAAAGAAAGATGGGAGGAAATAAACAATAAAAGAATAAAAGTATGAAAAAAAAAGAAAGTAAAAATGAAATAAAGCAAAAAAAGAAAAATAAATAAAAGTAAACCTCCATGATATCCTTATTGGTGCGGCTCTCGTGTGGTTCGTTGTATTCCGTGTATTTAAGTAGAATTTTATCCATATCAGTACTGGCGTATTGGAAAAGCTTGTTGTTGGGACTGAAAATTATAAGGGCAATTTCACAATCGCATAAAACGCTCAACTCGTAAGCCTTTTTCATAAGGCCGAATTTACGTTTGGTGAAAGTTACCTGTATTTAGAATAAATTAGAGATTACCCAAAATTTTGTATCCATTTTACTTTCATTTTGCTTATTTCTTTTTCCTTTCCTTCTAAACTTAATTTATTTTCTTCCATTCTTTCTTGCTATTTCTTTTTCTCTTTTTTCTCTTTCATTCATAATTAATGGATAGTTGAAACAAAACTATTCAAATATTCTCATTAATTGAGGGAGAAATTAACATTTAATATGTTTTTTAAGATTTGAAATAGGAGTCAGAGATTTGAAAATTTGTGAATTTAACAATATTCATAAATCGGTATTATATCTATATAAAAAAAACCTGTCTATTCCTTTCATCCCCTATTCGCAAAATTTTAATTTTCTTTCGTCCCATATATAAGAATTATGTTTTCAATTAACGTGAAACGTTAAGAAACGTTTTTTGATACTTTTTATATTTATTTTTTTAACACTAGAATTTTAATTAGAAGAGAAGTGGATTGGTATCTCATATAAGTCCAAAATATTAGTACCGAAGTTATGTGTTGACTATAATTAAAGAATAATCTAACAGAAGGCTATTCTATGTTGTAATTATACTCTCGAACGTGTTATGATATATGCGTGTAATTTTAATTGAAAGAGGCTAAGGTGATAGGGTAAAGGATCACGAAATTTTTCCGATAAGGCGATTTGGTATAGCGAAGTGCACATTATACTTCGAGTTTTTTATGGGAATATATGTCAAGCTTCCTAGAAAGTCTTATAAACTAGTTGAGTACTTGCATTACACAATCTTTGATACCTAATAAATAAAATGATTTAATTTAAAATGGGCTGTGTGGTGTGATTTAACATATTTTTAAAAAATTAATAGCTCAAAAAAGATCTAAAAATAGAATCAGGTTTTTTTATGAATTGTCAGTGAAAAAACATAAATTTTTTAGAATAAAAATATGATTATTTGAGGATAAAAAACAATGAAAGTTAAGGTATTATATTGAACTCCCCAGTTCATCAATTAAAGATGTAAAAATATTTTAAAAAATAAGCCAACTAAGGCATGTTTTTATCTTTTTATTTTTGTTAATAAATGGTTCAAATTTTATAAAAGATTAGGGTTAAAAAATATTTTAAAATTTTAAGTATTTATAAGCAATAATTATCAATATATATTTTAAAGCAGTATTTTATGTATAGAGAAAACTTCTCTATTCTGAGCATTATAAGAAGAGAAACCCCATTCATATTTTTTTTAAGCAAAGAAATACATAACTAACTATTTTATATATTCGATATCTTAATGGATGCTTGGCTAAATAACTTTAAAAAAATCCTTCAATAAAAGGGAAAGAATAAGACTCACAAAAATCTTTCAATTAGAAGGATAGAATAAGACTCATATTAGGGACTCGAAAGATATTTAATGTTTTTATTTCATTCCGGCCAAAAAATTCCTCTATTCCTGTTTTGGTAAAGTACTGGAGGTTTCCTGAAAAAATATCGTTTTCTTAATTCTAAACATTTTCATTCAATTGAAAACACGTTAGGAGACTCTTCTGAACTGTTTTGTGACTGGGTTAATTTTTTAAAAGAATTCTGAGTAATATCTATTTCCAGAATTTATTGAACTTTTCAGAATTTTGGCTGTGTGTTATATCAAACAATTTTTTAAAAATTCTTAATAAAAATTGAACTTTTAAGAATTTAATGTGCCTAGAAAATACATTTATATTTAGCATTGATATTATATAAATGCCAAATTAAAATAATAAAGGTATGAAAATGGGCTCGAAATTATATTAAAAAAATAATAATTAAAACTTGGGAGATTAAAATGTAATCTGAACTGAAGTCATGTACTTATTTGAAGTGCATTGGACTTTAGGAAATATTGTTAAGATAAGAATTTGTATAAGATCACATAAATCGACCATACCATAACATAAGTCATTTAAAATATACTACTATCAAATTTTAATGATCTTATTATATTAGCTTATTTATCAATCTAAAAAATATAAATGTTCATTACCTATTCAAAAACAAATACAAATCGAACAATTAATTTCGTATTCGATTCTTTTGAACCAATCGAATAATTCATTTTACTATTCGCATTCGTATGATACGAATAGTATAATTATTCGATTAGTATAATTATGAATAGTAAATTATTCAATTCGTTAATAATTCATTAATCGATTCGTATTCGTTTTTAAATAAGTTTAATATTCATAAACCTTATTTATATAACAAAATCGTTGTAATCTCCAAAATTCTTTCTTATTCATGATAGATGTAAATTGTTGCAAATTTTTTTAAGATCATTTAGTTTTAAAATAATAAACACCCTATAAAAATAAATTATGTGTTCTATTATTATTTTTGCATATTTTTAATAATTTATTTAGCTTTTTAAAATTTATCACTTCAAATATATAAGAAGGGTTTGGGCTAAACTGCAAATGCCAAGGTAAACTGCAAATGCTTAGGTAAAAAAATAATTTTATTTCCTTTTATCTCATAAAAGTTTAAATCCTTTAATAATATAATTTTATTAAAATAATTATAATTACTTTTAAATTTCAATGATATTAAATACGCAAGTTGGTGTATGATTATTTTATGAAAAAAAATTTAAAATTATTTTTTGTTTTATTAAATTTAAAATCATATTATATTATTACTTAAAAAGGTGTTTGACTAAACTGCAAATGCCTAGGTAAACTGCAAATGCCAAGGTAAACTGAAAATGTTTAGGTAAAAATTTTTGATATATACTCTCATTTTCTTATGATATAATTAATTTAAATAAATAATATGCCAACTTACGGATTTAATTATATTGAAATTTAAAATGTAATTATAATTATTTTTAATATAATTACATTAAAGGTTTACACTATTTAATATGAGATAAAAGGATATTATATTCCTTTATTATTGAATATTCTGATAATTTTATATAGGAAAATAAATCTCTCTCCAATTAATAAAGAATATATCAAAAATTTTACCTAAGCATTTGCAGTTTACCTAGGCATTCGTAGTTTAGTCAAACTGATATAAGAATGTTCTTAAAATTTAATAAATGAATTTTCTTAAATGTTAAAAAATTAAATATCAATGCTATAAAATTTCCAAATTAAGACATTTTATCGGATCGGAAAATTTAATAATATCGGCCGATCGCCGATGTTTAAAAAAAGAGGAATTAGGCCCGATTAGATAAAAATATCGGTATATCCTTAACATAAACTAAAACATTTTAAATTCATTTGAATGTATGGATTAGCTAATCCGACATGGGCCTATTAAAGAAATCATATTTGTGTTCGATTTTTGAAATATCCACGCTGCAAATATTTTTTATAATAGATATATTATTGTATTTCCTTTAAGCCATGTGAGTATATTTATCCATGCTCAAGTTTTACTTTTACGTAGAATATCAAAGAGATAATTTTTGATAATTATATACTTAGTTATTTAAATATAGTGATAAAAAATTTTTAAATTTGCATATAAATATTCTTTCCGGCAATTTTAGAACCGTTGCGGTATATATCGCCCTGATTCTATCCATTTTCTCAAAATCCATTAGTCCCTGTTTACATTAAATCAAAGAAAATTTATATTTGGAGCATTTAGAGGCGCAAAAAGCGCATTGCATTATCTGCTTTAGTTTTTTTTTAATTTTAAATTTAAGTTAAAGCATTTAAAATAATATATATATATATATACAGGGTTTCTCATTTATAAAAAAGAAAAGTTTCGATCAAAAAAGGAAAAGGTATAAAAAAGAAAAAGCGTCAATCAAAAAAGGAAGAAGTTTATCTTTTTGACTTCTACCTCCAAGTAAATTTATTTTCCTTGTCATCTTTCTTCAATTCTCTTTTTCCTTTTTTCACCATTATCTTATTACAATTGCGGGAAATACAGTAATCATTTAGTAATAAAGTATCATTTTAAAATATAAATTTTAACTATAATATCAAACTGAATAGTTACATATAATTCAGACACCTACGAGTCCATAAGCTCAGTCTCTGTGGCTGATTTAAAAATGAAGGTTACAAATGAAAAATGATAAAAAAATTAGCGAGTAGAAAAAAGATGAATGAAAATAAAGAAATATTTTTTAAAAAAATGAAAAATAGAACTAGGAAGATAAAAAAAAATTATTCAAAAATGAAAAAAAATGGAGAATACAAAAATATATTAAAAATGGCATAAAATTAAAAAGAGATCGCTAAAAAATGAAATAAACCAAGAAAGAAAATTAAAAATAACCAAAAATTATAGAAAAATGCCAAATAATCACATTTCAGGCAGGGATGTGAACCCGAATGGACCCGGACCCTCCTGAACCCTCGTAAACCCGAAACCTTTTTAAAAGTGGAGGGTCCAAGGGTTCTAAGTGTCATAAAAAATTTTAAAAATAAAAATATTTTTTTAAAAAATAATATAAATTTTATTAAATTTTTTTGTGGAATCATTTATTTTATCTTCACGTTTTTCTTTCATTTTCTTCCTAGATATTTAGAGATTGATATCGTAAATTATTTTCTAGTGTAAAAATATTTTATTATGTAAATTCTTTAATATGCTATGTTATAGAAATAAGTTGATTATTTTGAAAGTGAATTATTTTGTAGTACAAGTAATAATATTTTAATTTAAATGAACGTTGGTCCTTAATTTGTATGATGCTAGAATGATTATTAAGTTTGAAAGATTTCTGTATTTTATTATAGGAGCATGTGAAGTCATTTTGTAGGAAGATGATTGGTGCCAAATAAAAGACCTTACTAGTGTATTAGTTCTTTTAAAAATAACAATATTAAGATTACAATCAGAACAATTATGTGTATTTGATTTTAAGGCATATGGATTAGATGCCGATTAGATTTAGAAAAATTTACAGTCCTTTTTATATGAAATATTAGAAAACATGAAAATTCTAGAGCAACAATATTTGCAAAATAGTGTTGTATACGCTTCTATATATTTAGACCCTCTAAATCAAGTTTTATTGAGTATTAAGCAAAAATAAATAGCTAAAGACCATCTTAAAGATTTATGGCATAAGCGAAACTCCATTATTTACAATATATTGGAGGCTACGACAATACCTATTGGTTGTAGTGATATAATAATCATAGCAACAATGATGATCTTGAAATTTTATTTTTAGATAGAGAAAAAAAAATCAAATTATCATCAGATAGAAAGGAGGATCAAAAAATGCATATTGCATCTTTAATAGTAAAGTTCTCAGAAGTTTTGAGAATAAATAAGGATATATATATTTTAAAATTCTGGGAAGAAAATTCTTCATATCCAGAATTATATATCTTATCTAGAATCTTCATGACTGTACTGGCGACACAAGTACAATAATTTTATAAAGATAACTATCTATTTTAAGGCATGGGTAGAACGTGAATTTTCATCTTTGAAATATATATTGTCTACTTTACGTGAAAATCTCAAGGATGATATTTTAGAAGATATTATGATTGTGCGAGAATAAAACATTTAAAATATAAATTATTTCATTTTTAAATTTTTCATTTGTAAATTAAAAATATGTATATATTGAAGTATAATAATAAATTAATGAAAAAAAAATCTTTTTTGAGTCATTATTTTATGTTCCCTGAACCCGGACCCGAACCCGGGTCCTTTCAAATTTTATTCCTGTACCCGAACCCAGACCTGGACCCTTTTTTCTGTCAAAGGGTTCACATCCCTGATTTCAGGATTATTAAAACAGTAAATTTTTTTTATAAAATAACG